AACGCTGGGGGCAACTAGGAGGGGGGGCGGGGAGGGGGGGGGCGGTCCGACGCGCAATAAACTTGTCGGGGCAGAAGGGGGGGACTGGGCGGAAGTTCCACTGGGCCGCTGGGGAACGCTGGGCTGGGGTAGGGGGGGAAGGGAGAGAGGGCGGTGAGGTGCGACGCGGAAGAAATTGTCGGTGCGGGGGGAACACGTGGCGGAGGTTCCACTGGGACGCTGGGGAACGATGGGCACAGGTAGGAGGGGGGCGGGAAGGGGGGGGCGGTGCGACGCGGAATAACATGGTCGGGGCGGAGGGCACTGGGCGGAGGTTTTACTGGGCAACGGGCCACTGGGGAACGCTGAAGAAAAGTAGGACGGGGGGTGGGTGCGGTGCGACGCGGAATAAACTTGTCGGGGCGGAAAGGGGGGGACTCGGCGGACGTTCCACTGAGCCGCTGGGGAACGCTGGGCTGGGGTAAGGGGGAAGAAAAGGACAGTGGGGGGGGCGGCGCGACGCGGAATAACATGTTCGGTGCGGAAGGAACACGTTGCGGAGGTTCCACTGGGACGCTAGGGAACGCTGGGGACAGGTAGGATGGGGGCGGGGGGTGCGAAGCAGGACAAAATTGTCGGCGCGGAGGGGGCACTGGGCAGAGGTTCCACTGGGGCGGTGGGGAAAGATGGGAGGGTATGGGGGGGGCGGGGACGGGGGGCGACGCGGAAAGAAATGGTTTTGGGCGGAGGGGGCAATGGGCGGAAGTTCACTGGGCCGCTGGGGAACGCTGGGGACGGGTAGGAAGGGGGCGGGGAGGAGGGGGAGGGTGCGGTGCGACGCGGGAAAAAATTGTCGGCGCGGAGGGGGCACTGGGGCGGGGGGGGGGGGGTGCGGTGCGACGCGGAACAAAGCTGTCGGGGCTGAGGGGGCACTGGGCGGAGGTTCCAGTGGGCCGCTGGGGAACGCGGGGGAGGGGTGGTGGGGGAGCGGGGTGTGGGGGGGGGGGGGCGGTGCGACGCGGAATAAAATGGTCGGGGCGGAGGGGGGCACCGGGCGGAAGTTCCAATGGGCCGCTGGGTGACGCTGGGGAGGGGTAGGAGGGGGCGGTCAGGGGGGGGGCGCTGTGCGACGCGGAGTGAAGTTGTCGGGGCGGGGGGGGCACTGGGCGGAGGTTCCACTGGGCCGCTGTGGAACGCTGGGGAGGGGTGGGGGGAGGGCAGGGAGGGGGGGGGTGCGGTGCAACGCGGGAGAAAATAGTCGGGGCGGAGGGGGAAACTGGGCGGAGGTTCCAGTGGGCCGCTGGGGAACGCGGGGGAAGGGTAGGAGGGGAGTGGGGAGGGGGTGGGCCCGGTGCGACGCGGAGCAAAATGGTCGGGGCGGAGGGGGCACCGGTCGGAAGTTCCACTGGGCCGGCGAGGAAGGGTAGAAGGGGGGCGGGGAGGGGGGTGCGGTGCGACGCGGAATAAAATGGTCGAGGCGGAGGGGGCACTGGGCCGAGGGTTCACTCGGCCGCTGGGAACCGCTGAGGGGTAGGAGGGGGGCGGGGAGGTGGTGGGGTGCGGTGCGACGCTGGATGAAGTTATCCGAGTTCTAGACACCCTGTGCAAGATAAGAACTACACACGAATCCCAGGGTTCCACTCATTTTCCTATTCTTTCTGGTTTTTCGTCTTCCCCCCCCACTTCCTATAATAGTTCCCCATAGGCGCATGGAAACCAACGTTCAATTGTGTCTGTGTGATTTCCCCCCTGATTTTTTCTCGTACAGACAAACGGACTTCACACTGCGCGTCCTCAGCGGCCACGCGACTCAAAAAGCCGCCAGGCGAACGCTGGCTCTGGGAACCCTGGGTGCGCGGGCGGTGGCCGCTGCGCTCGCGGGTGTGCGGGGTGGCTGCGCTTCTAGTCCGGCGGCTGAGCACTGCGGGGACGATGCCCAACAGCGGATGCTGTCCGAAACAGGCAGCGGCGAGTATCATCCCAAATGTAGCCAGTCGGTGGCACCGACGACGGATCCTGCGCAAAACGGTCAGGAACTGCTGTCGGTTTTCGTCCCCGCTTTTCCTGTCCCACCTTGGTCTTCCCGAGTGTTTGCTTCCGACGGCTTCGGGGATGCCCACAGTCAAGTTAGCGCTGCAGAAGTCGTGCTACAATGAGGAAAACGAGATAAGAAACGAAGTGGCTTTTCTGGTCACGTCGAGCCTCGGGAACGAATAAATAGGTTTCCCGACCCTACCTCAAGAGCGGCCCGACACCCAGAGCCCCTCCTGAGCCCAAAATGGTCCGTATCTCAACGTCTCGACTGCATGTCAAACCAGGTCAGGCAAGGTCACTGCGCGAACCCAGAGCGCGCACGGGGTGGAGGAAAACGTGGCACCGAGTGGCTCCAGGGTCTAGCGCCGATCCGAAAACTGCGCGCGGACCTCCGCAATTGCATGATTATGCCGATTCACAGGATCGCTATTTTCTGAATAGTATTATTCTTCTTGTTTCCCCAATCAGTGCTTGCATTGAAGGGGTCCTCGCGAATGATGAAGGATTTGGCGAAAAGGCCCCGCCGATTTTGGTCGCACGCTGGGTTCCAGGGTTCCTGTGTTCCCGGTTCCGGGTTCCTGGGTTCCCGGTTCCGGGTTCCGGGCCGATTTCGGAGGGCGGAGAGGTTCCCGGGTTCCCGGGTTCCTGGTCGATCTTCCTACCGATCGGTCTCACCATCGATCTCATTACCGACTCCTCGATCGATCACAGCATCGATCTCACAATCGATCTCACTATCAATATCACAAGCGATCTCACTAGAGGTCGCATGAGCGATCTCGCGATCGATCGCACTATCGATCTCGTTGAATCGATGTCACTCTCGGTCTCACGATCAACCTTACAATCGTCCTCACTATCGATTCCACAATCGATCTCACCATCGATCTCATAATCGATATCAAGATCTACAGTCTCAACTTTCTCAGGTGCAATTATTATTGTTATTATCCTTATGAGTATTGTTATTCTTCATTTTGTGAGGCTGGGGCCACTCAGAAGGTCGGGCGAACGCTAATGTGGATTACGGATCCGTGGATCTGGCGCGTGAGCGCCAGATCCACACCACGGACCGCGAAAGGGGGACGTCCGAGACAGGAGGCCAGTGCCGCCAGAATGGGCGACGGAGCGTGCCGATTCTGCAATTACGAAAACGGC